TTAAATTGAAATTTCATGGCTAATTTGTGTCTTAAGAGAAAGCCAGTTGCATAAATCACAACAATAAATTACATCTGAATTGTTGTCTCCAGTTTCTTATCATCAAAGCCTGTTTAATGGAGTGTGGGAGCTGTGAAGAACCTCCCTAGATGCTGATATCATTTTGACTGCCCTGAGTTACAACACAGCATTTAGAAAAACTTCTGCACAACAGCTTGTAGACACATACCTAGGCTTTATTTGGAACATAAATTGACCAGATACAGTTTTCATTATCAACCCAGTATTTAACAAATTCTGTATTTTTGTTCATTCTTTGAAGGGGAAAATGCAACTTTGTTGTGTAATAATTACATAATGGTCTTAGACTTGTAAACTTTTTTCTGTTTGTGGTGAAGAACAAAGCATATACTCTCCACAGATAAAAAATTGGTTGCCAAGCTTATTCTTTTAATGATGAAATTCTGCTTCAAAAGATGCACAAAAAACTGCTTCCAAAGTGCTCTGTGTGTTATTCTTGACTGCTCTGGAGTAAGGGAGATAAATGCTTCATATCTTCAGAAATAAGGGGATTTAGATCACCAGACTTAAGGGGGCCGACTATAGTTTCCATTGCGCAATATTTCGCGCATCATAGTAAAATGAAGCGTATTTACTGTTTTAATGCAACTTTTTTTGCTTAATTATTAAAATTAAACAAAATTAAGAAATTATAGGTATAAAAATGTAATTACAATTTGACATAACTGATTTTTTAACCGATTTTGCAATTGATAGGTAGGTTGACGTCGTTGCAGTGTGTTTTTGACGTTATGATAATCTGTAGCCCTTAAAGAATGGGGTAATAGAAATATTATTAAAGAAAAAGTAATAAACATACGCTCTTGAAATTTAAAAGATAGAAATTTTAGAATAACGCCAATATTTTTATTATGTTTTCATGTGAATCCATTGTGTACGTCATATTTCGTAATACTCTATAAAAATAGTAAAATTTGCTAATTTTTTTGCATTTTGAGATGCCCCCTCTGGTAACAAGACGGTAGAATTTTGTGTTTCTTACATATATTGTATAATATATTATTACTCATCAAATATTATAGTTTGAACAAAATGTCTATTGTAGTATTTGTATAATTTGCTTTAAAGTGCTAAAAATTGGCACTTTCCTATATAATCCTATAGTAAATGTACCCGTATTTTGAGACAGTCCCTCAGAAATACCTGGACGGTAGATTTCCCCCAAACTTTGCATGTACACTGAAGTTAATGTAAGTTATATATGGTATACACTTGAAGAGTTTCGCTATTGTAGTTTTCACACAATAAAACTATAGTCGGCCCCCTTAAGGATGTTGGGGACAATTATTTAATGAATCTCAGGTGCAAATATGGAAAAAAATCGAACACCTTCAAAGGTCCTTCAAGGTATCACACCGGTAATTGACCAATCAAAATGAACTTAGTCAAATGTAGGTCCATATATATAAAACTGATTTTCTTTTCTTTTGAGACGTTTTTCTATTTTCTTTCATGCCATTTTTACAACTTTGGTACCTGTGCCTAGTAAAATTTATGTACTTTGTGAATAAATAAAGGTTTTTGACAGGAACTATTTTTTTCATGGCATAGGAGGCTACTTCCTGTAGTGCACTCGAGGTGTTTATAAACACAGTGAAAACACGTGGATTTGAGGGTAGCCCTGTTTGCAGATGGAAAAAGTCCGAAAATGCCGTGTGGGTACCCTGTTTTTTGGTGTCAGCTAATGTGACAGGTAATGTTTAACACCTCCTGCTAAATATTTTTTCATGTAAACAAATACCTGATTTTTAACGATTTTTTATTCTATATAGAATTATATAGTGAAAACAATTACCGGTGTGATACCTGAAGTTCTGTAGCATGTGCACCCTACTTTCGTTTTAACAGGAAGAACTTCGCAAGGTTAAGGTCAAGTCAAGTTAAACAAAGTTTTTCTGCTAAAATATCGACAATTTCTATGTAATTTTATGTCTACTAGCTCAAATTTATTAGAATTATTAATATTTGACTATTCTGGGGATTTATTTCTTTATTTTTCATTATGTTAGAGCTAGTTAGTAGATATTTATTACATGCGCGTTTTTTCCCTGTTTCCAAAAATAGCGGACTGACTTTCTTCGTAACAAACGCCAACACCTTCACTTTAAATCACAATTTCAAAAATAATTCGCATATTTTCACATCTTAATTACCTATTTTTCAATGTATTATGGTTTTATAATGCATATTGATAGATTCTTAGTAATTCACAACTCATTTATACGTTTTATACAACGTTTTATGTTACGAAGCGCTAATTCCACACTCAGACCCAATATATTGGGTTCCCGCACGGTAGCGTTTGTGACGTCAGACCCAATATATTGGGTTCCCGCACACAAAGGGTTAATAAATCTTCACAAGGTCCTATGTGTGTGCGAGATTGTTTTCTGGCTGTTATTTGAAGAATTAATGGAGACTCAACTATGTGAATCACTGAAAATCCTTAATTTAAGTATTATCCAACTTGTTTTTAGCAAAGAGGAAACTTGACACTGCTTTAGACATTTTGACATTATCATCGTGTGTCGTAAGGCGACACAACACATTTAAATGAAATCTTATAATTTGCAATTGTTTACTTATGCATATCCCTATTTGAAGTTTGCTATATGTTTTTTGATGAAAATTGTAATAAGATAGTAACAATTTTAGATAACAGTGAGAATTCATAACACTTTACTTTATAGTACAAAAAATATAAATTTATATATTAAAATACAGGTAGATATATTGTGAAAAATTGAAATAAACTTTTATAATTTCCATATCATTTTACAAAATCTTAAAACATTTTTTCTTATATACTGCCAGTCACCATTTGAGGTAGCAAGTTTGCTTTGGACTCACGGACCTGAAGAAGTCCATCCTTACGTCGCAGATTCGACTCCCAGTGCGTGACATGGATATCGACCCTTAATTCAGATTGAGATCCTGTGTCGCAGTAATTGCTAGCCAGAAAAATATCCTTCGCTGCTAAAAATGTTATTCTCGAAAGGGGTGTTAATTAAACAAACAAAATCATTCATGCCACCGTCTTTCAGTACTCACAGTACTCTTATTAACGGTTAGGGCTAGGGCTTCCATACTTCACATATGTATTCTTTGTGGCAAGTCATTTTATTGGATACCAATAACCTTGACCTTTTGAACTTGACCTTAGAGATTTCTGGACTTATGGAAAAACATTAACCATGGCAATAACTTTAGAAGAGTAAGGGCTAAGGCTTTCATACTTCACACATGTAATCCTTGTGACAAGACCTTTCATTCAATACCAATTACCTTGACCTTCTGACCTTGATCTTGGAGTTTAACCTACTTTTAAAATCTTTTTAACCTTGGCCATAACTTTTAGATGGTTAGGGCTAAGACTTCCATACAATACACATGTGTTCTTTGTGGAAAGACCTTTCATTGTATACCAATAACCTTGACCTTCTGATCTTGAAGATTTCTGTACTTATGAAAAAACTTTAACCTGGTCATAACTTGGGAACAGATGGTGATAGGGCTTTCATGTTTCACAATTGTATTTCCAGTTAGGAGACCCTACTTTGGGTACCAATATATTATTAAAATTTGCATTTAGGAAAAGTATAATCTTCACTATGTTGCCATACAGGGGTGTTTCACAAACACATCTTGTTTTCTTCGATTTTATTTTGCCATATTTTTTAACATAAAAAAGTATGTACTCTATTAGTAAAAAGGAAACAGAATTTAGACAAACAGCTTATTTTTTATATTTAGTCTGTGTTAAAAGATGACAGAGAAAACTAGCTTGTGGCTCATACATATTATTTTCAAATTGGTTTTGTTAATTTCTTTAAAAAAATTACATAACAATTATAGCCCTTTCATGAGGTCAATCCATATATATATCAACTTCACAGAAAAGCATATAGACCTGGCATTTTGTGCTCAGTTAATATGCTTTTCTGGGAAGTCAATATATCTATGAATCAACCTCACGAAAGGGCTATATTTATATTATATACAAACACACACACACACCCTTACAGGTGTCATACTTCATCTGACACCTTAAACTCACTTCTGGTGACAGCCTCCACCTCCTCTGCCACGGCCTGTTTAGTGTCCACCAGTCTCTCTTGTAGGCGTTTATTTTCTTCCTGTAGGTTGGACACAGCCTTCAACAAATCCTTTGTCTCTCTCTGCCAGTTATCCTCAATCTGCAGAAGCTCCTTCAATAATATATAAATGTAATTTACATATTACAGCAAAACTCGTTCAGTACGAACATGGATATTACAAATTTACAGATTTAGCGAAGTCATCTTGGATCCCCAGCTATATAAAATTAATGATTTCTCTGTGGTGGGCGGAGCTACTTTCCGTTCTGTATTAGCCCTGTATACAGTATTGTTTTTGCCAACTATTCTGTATCTAAAATACACCACGGTCTAAAAATAAATCTGACTCAATTTATCAAAAGCACGTACTAATAGTAAATGCTGATGTTTTCCTATTATAAATTTTAGAGAAATAACCAGTATTTTCCTGAGAATGTAAAATGTCAAAATTTCTCAATCACTTTTTAAAAACTTATTCCACACAGATTCTACACATAATTTAGATCCAAAGTAAAAGGAAAATTCGCAATATTGGAAAACCTCCTCTGTACACAATTTCGATCTAAACGAAACGGAAAATTTGCAATAACAGAAAACATCCACTCTCTTCGTGCAAAATCGTTCAAGTCCATTTTTTCCGTGTTTTTATTTTTTAAAATCCTTCTCGCTGACGACAGGCACACGTCTCTTTCACTTCGTTTTTAATGTCGCAATTCAATTTGAAAATGAAAATCCGTAACATCAAAGTCCATCGAAGAATTTTCTGTAAATCCTGTTTTTGTTAATCTAGTTAAACCAGGATTTTAAGACCCCTGAAATAAATTATGATAAAAATCCATCTACAATAGATCACAACAATGACGGTTAAATCCTCCATCTTATCCATTAAGACTGACTATCACTCTATTACGTCTACTCCGTTAAATTGTCAAAACTAATCTGACCCAATTTTACGCTTTCTGTGGAAATATATATACTGCGGATGCGTACTCCCCGTCCGGGCCTCATCTACAGAACTCTGGCGGAAGTTTGGATGCTGCAAAGTTATAAAGTGGGCGGAGCTATTTTTGATTGAACCTGTCACAAATCATTTAGAAAACTCGAAAGGTTTATCTACGATACAGAACCCGTTTCGTTCTCTAAATAATACTTAAACATATGGAAAACAAAGTAACAGATTTATTATGTATAAACCAAGAAGGATTTTGCCTTTAAGGTCTGCTCACTCATATTGAATGTTGCTTGAATTAATGATTTTCCAAAAGATTTTTTAGAAATGTATTTTATAAGTAAAATACTGTTAGTTACACAGTCAGTTAGGGACTAATACGGAGTCATACAGGGTGTGAAATGGAAATCCATATTGGGCGAGGCGAAGCAGAGTCCCAATAAGGATTTTCATTTCACATCCTGTATGACTCTGTATTAGGTCCCTAACTGACTGTTACGAATTTATCCCACTGAAGACCTTTTTAAACATTTCTTTGAAAAAATAACATATGAGCATTATTATCAAAATATCACATTTTAATAGTCATCATTAAATATAATGAGTAACAAAAAATTTAACAAACAACAGATGATACAATTTATCCCACTGAAGATTGTAGGGTTTTTTGACTGGTTTGCATTGCTGTGTTTGAAACATTTGCACTGGTATTTTGGAAAAAGTCGCCAAACAAATCACTTAGACGAATTCCTTTGAGACACTTCGCATTCTCAGGGAGAGATAGTTGATCGATACCCATCATTGTTAGAAGAGAGTGCAGCTCCAAAATTGGTAGTGGATGGTAAGGCAAGTTTGGCTTCGGTATTGCTACTGGATGGAAAGGCAAGTTTGGCTTCTGTATTGCTACTGGATGGAAAAGCAAGTTTGGCTTCTGTATTGCTACTGGATGGTAAGGCAAGTTTGGCTTCAGTATTGCTACTGGATGGTAAGGCAAGTTTGGCTTCAGTATTGCTAGTGGAGGGTAAGGCAAGTTGGTTGTGTACACTGGGCAGTAATGCTTCCGAGATGCTTTGTCCCATCTTCATCTTCTCATCCTCATCAACCCTCTGATATACAGTTAGAGACTGGACAGATTTAGGACCAGTAACTGTAGCCATAATCTGAGATGGGCCATACATTCCTTTGGACAGCATTGTGGCTCCAGTTGCCCGAATAGAATGATTTGTGTAAATTTTAGATAAATCACATTTCTTGCTGAGATCAGACATAAATGTTGCAAGTGTTTTGGCACCAACAGGCACTTTGGCATACCACACATCTTCTAATCAGTATCAGTATAAGAGGACACCGGACGGTCAAGTTGTGGTTGTAACTTGCTGATATATTTCTCAAAACTCGTGACTGACCTGAGTTACAGATAAAATACTCAATAAATCTTTAAATTTTCTAATTGAACAAAGAAGAATTTCTTTCAATATGTACTACTTGAAACAAAAAAAAATTTACCTGGTGTCTATGGCATAATGGGGGGGATATTTTCTTTGTCACTTTCTCTGTGATTTTTGGTCAACTTGTCAAGGCCCTTACTGGCCTTAGTCACTAATTGCAAGCCTGTCTTAATTATTTATATCTTTTTTAATGACATAAGTGTTTTGTCATCTTGGAGATATTTTCACAACCTCCCCTGCAACAAAAAAGCAAAAATATATTTATCAGAAATACATTTATTTTTTTATATAATTGACAGGACCATCTAAATCCCCCCACATCCAAACCACACAAATAAATCAAAATTTTGTAGAAGATTGGATCATAAAATTTTTCATACCTAAAAAAGTATAGCCTGATATCAAAATGAACCTCATTAAACAATCCACTAGGTGTTGCTGGATTCAGGTATACAGATGTGTATAATTTTGTCCTGTCAATTTCTGCAATCACGGAATGGTGCACTATAGATCCATGCAAGTCCCTCCCTCTTCAGTTCGGCCATCATCGCTTTGAAATTTTGATTTGCATCCTGAAATGCAGCGTCTTTAATGATGTCAAAAGTCTTGTTATGAGGTGGTGATCTAAGAAACCTATTCAGTCCATGATGGATATTTTCAAGCGATGATGTTTTATATTTCCCTCCATTTGGTTTCCTAGCGTCTATGTAGAAATGTCCCAACACTTCATTCAATTGCACCTCGTCAAAAGTTTCAAATGCACAATCCTGAGATTTTTCCTTTAAATAATCCCTTAAAATGTTAGCCGCTTTGTTGTTGCTTTTTATCGTATTTTCAGAGTTTACCTTTGTTCCTTTTCAATCATTTTGATCTCAGTCGTCTGCGCAAATCTCTTTTACAATAACAACGCTTCAAACAGAATCGCGTGCCAGATTTTAACGGAGACGTAATACGGAGAAAACCAGGGAGTACGAATGCGATAAGCTTTTATCCAATCAGTAATCTACAAGTTTTTCTGAAGTGGGATAAAAACAATTATAGTTTAGCTTGCGGGGCAAAATTGGACAAAAAAGACACTTCAACCTTGGCAACTTTCCTATAAACTTTAAGGAATAATAGACATTTATGTCATTAAGAGTTGACTGTTGTATTTAGCCTAGGGTTGGGCAATAATATCGATATTTCAATATATTGCAATACAATGACAACAAATATCGTATCGCAATACGATTTTGTAATATCGATATATTGGCAACAAGCTTAGATTAAGGTTATCCGATCCTCAGGTTCTAAAAAACAGGCATTAAGTAATTGAAAATGCTCACAAAGATGTCTCTAAATTCTCAAATTAAAATGTATTTACCCACGGTGTTTCTTTAATTTTTATCTTTAAATTTAATCATATTATATAGAAAAAATTAGTAAATCTCAAATAATTTTTCAGGAAATGCGATTTGAACTACCTACTGCATATTTTTAAATTGATAATTGATCAAAAAATACATTTTAGGAATAAAAATTAGGTATCCAGGCTTTTAATAAAATTAAATAATGTTAAATTGGGTTTACTACTCCTGTTTTTATACTATAATGCAGTGTCATCTGTGTCATTATCAAAGAAAACACCGTAAATCTTCTAATTTAAATATTATAGCTTTAAATAGCTAAATTAGCTATATAGCTTTATTAAGCTATTCAGTATAGCTTAATTTAGTGATTTTACTTTTTTATTAAAGGTGTAATTTTGAATCATACAGTATGCATAAAATGCGCAAATTGTTGCAGTGATGATATACAACTTTGAACTTTATTTTAAAATAATGCATGTAAAAATCACTCATCGAATTATGTCTCTTAAGGAATTTTGTCATAAAATATAAAAAGTTTTGGGGTTATATAAAGCAAATGATACAGTTACTTCTGCAATGATATTATAATGAAATCAACAATTTTTTGTCAACAAGATAATTGATTGGTACAGTTCAGCACAATCAGAAGCAATTATACTTATCCTTTAAATTACAAGGCACTAAAGGTAGTACAGTTACTCTAACAATAAAAATTCTCTTTTTGCTTAAAAGTATTCAAAAGCTTGCAAAGTTAGAACTCTTCAAGATTTTTGGTTGTTGTTTTGATAGCCCACAGAACATATATATGAAGAGTCAAATGCATGCGACTTTTTGTTTTTCTTCTAGCAAAAAACATTTTTGTGAAAAACTGTATATAAATAGCTAAATAAAGCTATTTTGAATAGCTTAATAAAGCTATATAGCTATTTAAAGCTATATACAGCCTAAATCTACCGGATATATTGAATTTCAATCATGCAAATTATTTCAATATATCCGTAATTTTTATATAAGCGAAATCATTAAGCCGCCATTTTTTTTTTATTAAAAGTTTAAATCCCAATCTATAAAATAAAGAACAAACCCGAACAAATTAATTTTCTCATCGTTTACCTATAACAGCGTACAGATTACATGGATTATTAGTCCTTGAAAGTTTAAATAAAATTGTTTCTTTCTTTTTTATCGATAAGAAATCTTCAACTTAATTCTTATTCCCCGATCACATTTATTTACATTTTGGAGAATAAATCACCGATGTCAAACTGTTACTACTGCAATGAATTATGCATTATTTCATCGTAAGTGTACTCGGTACAGTTCAGCATCAATCTTAGCTATTTCGAATTTAGGCTTATCATTATTCATTAAAACAGTTCGTATTAAATTTGAAAGTTAAGTTTTTTCTAGATCTGTGGGGGTTACTTTATTGCCTTTAGCCTGAATACTTCTGTATTATATACATGGAAACAAAGAATTTAGCAGTGATTTTTTTTATTTTCATAAAACAGCATTTTTGCAGTATAAAAACACATAAGGTGAAAACTTAATTATATATATTTAAAGCACACCTTTTTATATCAATTGGTCAGTCAGGCATAATTTCTGTCACCAACCGTATACGACAGCCGCCATTTTAAGTACTTCAATATAACCGTTATGAAAACAACTCATTATCACCTGTGGGGTTTACCTATAACAGTGACTTCAATATAAGCATAATTTCAATATAATTGTTTCTTTCGATTTCAATATAACCGTTATTTCAAGCCATATATGGCGTAACCCCGATCACATTTATTTATTTTTGAAAAATACAAAACTGTTGAGTACTGCTGAAGCTGCAATTTCATCGTAAGTGTACTCGGGTTGAAATAAAGCTATTTCAATATAGGTTTATCATTAGCTATTAACAGTATGTATTTAATTTCAAAGTTATGTTTTTTTTTCTAGATCTGTGGGGGTTAATGTGTTATTTAAATCTTTTGTATTTATACATGGAAACAAAGAATTTAGCAGTGACTAATTTTATTTCGTACGAGCATGCAGTATAAAAACACATAAGGTGAAAAAATGATTATTCACACCTTTTTATATCAACTGGTCAGTCAGTCAGTCTAAATTTCTGTCACCAACCGTAACGATAGCCGCCAGGCAGTACTTCAATATAACCGTTATGAAAACAAATCATTATCACCTGTGGGGACCAATTTTCAATATAAGCGTAATTTCAATGCCGATAATATAACCGTTATTTCAATGCAAAGAATATGAGAGTCAAATACTGGGGATTTTATTTTATTTCAAAATAAGCGGAATTTCAAAATAAGCGAGTTCAATATAAGTGGAGTAAGCTGTAGCTAAATCAAGATATTGTTCTGAACCTGATTATACCCAAAAATCAGGACATTGATTATTATTATTATACCCCTGTCAAATTGCTATGTCAATGTACTAAAATATTTTGATTCTGCTTTTTCTTCATGGTTCTTAAAAGAAAATATGATAAAATTCATCATTTCCAATGAAAATAATATTGTTAATGTACATAAAAACTCTTTATTTTAGCATTTGTATGAAATCAAGTCAATCAGGGCATTATACTATCAGGGCATTATTATACCTTCCCATCTAGTGATTGTACTGAACCTGTTTATATAATATGTTGTATATGATAATATTCATGCATAACATTACTTCTTCATAGCGGTGTCTCTCCTGTGCTCTTTCTCGTTTCTCATTTTCCAATTTATCAATAGTGTATCTAAGTTCCGATATTTCACTGCTTTCTTTCTCGTATCTCCCTGCAAGACTTTCTAACTGCTCCAAGGCCTTTATCACTTTTGGCATCAAATCAGTTACAGCGTCAACGCCATAGCTTTCGATCAGCTTTTCAAATTCCTTGCCAATCCCTGCAGCCTGGTCATATACATCAACCACAGTCACCGACTCGAGAGAATCATCCATAATGTGTCTCCTTTCAGGAAAAAGATCCATTGATCGTAAACACTAATTTCCTTATGCACCTTTACCTTCCTGTCATCCTTAGTTTGGTTATCTGACAATCGAGCACCTGACTTAGTTCCCAAATTCCGAGACCTTCCGAATGTGCGAGGTAGATAGTGGGACAAATCGCCCCCAAGATAAGTCGCCACCATCTGTCTCCTAAACCTATACACAGCAAGTGATCTAATACACAGTGAGTTACCCAGATGCCAAACTTTACCTGTGTTGGGGATTTTGCGGCAATTTTAAAATTAGTAATGAAAAGGTTTTCAATTTTTTGACTGTTTGAAAACACCCCTACCCATTTAAAAAAAATTATTATGGTATCATACTATAAATTCAAATATTAAAACAAAGATTGTTTTAGATGTTAGTGTATGTGTCAATTAAAAAAAACAACTCCTGTAACAACCAAATTAGTCCTAATTAATTCATCCCCAGGATCCCATTTATTAATTAAATGGAAAGAGGGCCATTTTAACTACATTTCACAAAAATATCTAGGATTATCCTAACCTTAATAAAGCTTTGTCACCACAAAACATGCTAAAAAATTGCTTGTAAATTCTTATCTGAATAAAAAAGGAAAATAGAAGTGACACAAGATAGGAAACATTATTTTTGAATTTACTTACTTCAACCAGTGCTGCTCTAAACTTTATCATTAACATTTCCACTTTAGATTTACCATTTAGCATATTAAAATTAATATCGAAATTTCATTTGAAAATATAATTAAGTTTTATGTACAAGAGGTAGATTTTAAAAAATACCTATTATAATATAATCCTTTCAAATACTAAAGGTATATCTAATTCTTATACACGTATTATCAAGATAAAAATTTTTATATTAATAGTTTCTCTATACCATGTTCGGTGAACATCAAAGGATCATGAGTTAATTTGAAGGTCCCCACGAGTCCCAAACAAGGTATACAGGGTATACACAGGGACCAGTAAGTAAATGTCAATCAAATTCCAGCATCCAATGATGTTAAGCAGTCCCCTATTAAAATAAAATAAAAATTTAATTCAGTCCTCTCCTAAAATAAAATGAATTAAATTAAATTAATTTTTTTTTTAATTTCATTTATTATGGAATTCCTATGGCCATACTTGTAAGCCCTTTTTATGGCAAGCCCTTTTACTAATCATACGTGAAATAAAATCAGTTTTCTTTCAATAAGAGAGATATCTTCTCTAGCAATTAAAGAGAGATATCTCTTTAGTTTATAGAGATATCTCTTTTTTGTTTTTCTCGTTAAGCTTATAATTCCACCCTCCTGTGATGTCATAGGTTTTCGCACAAACTCTTATTAAATTAAATTCATGCCCAATAGAACAATATATTTTGGAAGAATGATTTTCCATAGGTGTAATGACAAATATTGTTAAGTAAAAGAATTTTAAAAATGCATATTTCCTTTATTTAATCAATTATTCAATCTTTCAAAAATGTTGACAAGGGAATAACTCCTGCTCATTTAGCTTCATTCAGACATTTTCTTTATTGTACTTCTAATTATATAATAGTGTTGCATTATGCATGTACTATGCCTAAATAGTAGGCAGGGTTTGACACATGGTGCACGAGCCGGAGGCGAGTGCACTATGTGTCAAACCCTGCCTACTATATTTAGGCATATATACATGCATAATGCAACACTATTGTTATTATTATGCTGACTGTTGTAATTATTTATGCGGCAATCTGTTTGACTTTTTCCTGAAAATATCGGTGCTTACACATGCAGCGCACTTGCAAGAACTCATTCAAAATTTTCATGCTAAAATTGTTTGCATGCTTATTTATTTTGGTTACTAGTATTTTCTCTAAATAAGTTAAATAACGGGATTTTCTTGTTTTAACCAAAGCAACTCATCTTTATTTTCTGTTTTGTTAGTACATGTAAGCCTTATTTTGCAGACAATCGGAGTTCCTCGGATGACTCGTACCTCGCACATAACCTCGGACGTCAAAGGTGATCTTCCATCTTGCTGATTCAGTCATGTGATCTTATTTGAATTTCATTCAAATATTAAACTTTTGAAATCCGAGTTACTTTGATGCACGCCCAACACTGTGTTCTTGCTTTCAAAGAATACTAACATTTGGTTGTAATTAACACGAGGAATTACACTAATAAAGAAACCATTTCTAAGAACTTTAGGCAGAGCGAAATATGAAATGAGTGACAAGGCAGTTTCCGGCGGAGAAATGTAGCGATCTGTTGCGTATTCCTCCACCTATCACATCCGAGGTTTGAATGGAGCGAAGCGGAGTCAGCCGAGGATTGCCGATTGTTTTGCAGACGTCGATTCTCATTGATAATTTTCTTTTACATCCTTCAATCAAGCGTCATATAAAAAAGCGTTTTAATGACCCTATGAAATCAGTTCATCTAACGATCTGTATGCAATTAGTTTGAAAGTTTGTTGTACACATTAATCTAAAGTTCCTTAGAATAATATAACTGTTTTCAAATAATATTTGTCTATTTTCTCCTTCTTGCGTCAATTGTATAAATTAAGTTTATATATTTAATAAACTTCTAACAAGCAGTGATCGTCTCTGTGGCGTAATCGATAAGGCATCGAACTGACAATCTCATGATCGTCAGTTCGATCCCCGGCGTGTGCATTGAAGAATTTTATACACAAAATAAAGCCGTGCACTATTTCGGCATAGTATGCTTACGCTATATAAATCCTTAGACCACTATGCGAGAATAGTAGGGTATGGGTTATATAGAGACAAACTGACAGGAAGCATAATAATGTAAAATAGTTTCCATGATATTCACAATTCAAAAGTGTCTTATAAGTAGCAAGTATTTAGGAACTTTCAGCATCATTAATATGCATTTGACTCAGTTAAATTTTACATAATATTTATGATGCTGTTTACAAAAAAAAATGTACAATGTTTTTTATGTTGACATTTGCTTCTGTTTATTTACGTCTACCATCTTAAATAATATGGCGACTTATACATTTTTGGAAACAATTGGTAAATTGAAACTATTAAATGAAAATAAATTCAATTTTTGTACTTTTAACCATTAAAATTGTAAGGGTGAAAACACTTTAAGCGAGAGAGATATCTCTTTAACAAGGTTAAAAGAGATATCTTTCTTAGTTAAAGAGATATCTCTTTAGATTTTTAAAAAAAGATATCTCTTTTCTAGTCATCCTTAAAATGAAATAATTAAATTCTCCCCGTTAAAACGAAAGCGAAACAGGAAGTAAAGTCTCTGGAATAATTTGAACCTTGCTCTTGACTTTTGAGAAGACATAGGGCTTTCATATTAAAGCTATGTATTGCTTGTGACAAGACCTTTCTAAATACACTATGATTTTTGATCTTGTGACCTTGTCCTTGAAGTTTGACCCAATTTTCAAAAAATGTTAATTATACCCCCCGTCCGTCTGTCTGTAATGCTTTGGGCTATCTATCTCTTATCCGCAACTCCTCTTTTATTACTGAATGAAAATTTAATGAGACTTTCACAGAATCTTTGTTACACAGTGCCATTGTCACCCATTATTTTACTTTTTGATCTGACACATATTTTGAGTATACCATAGCAAAACAATACCCCCCCTCTTGAAAAGTGGGAGGGTATACTGTAATCGGTATGTCCGTCTGTCCGGCTGTACATCCATCTGTTACGCTTTGGGGTACCCATCTCTTATCCGCAACTCCTCTTATACCACTGACTGAAATTTCATGAAACTTTCACAGAATCTTTATTACATATTGCCACTGTGCACCTCCTATTTTACTTTTTGATCCGACACATATTTTGGGTTTCCCGGCCACAGCAAAACATGGACTTTTCCATTATAATCATATGGGAGGCGGGAAGTATCATTTGGTGAGCTCATTGCTCACAGTACCTCTAGTTTTTTCTATAATACTGAAGGGTACCCATCTCTTATCCGTTTCTCCTCCTTTACAACTGAAAAAAAAATTAATGGCACTTTCACAGATTCTTTATTACATAGTGCCATTGTGCACCTCCTATTTCACTTTTTGACCTAACACTTATTTCGGACCTCCAAGAGCAAAACAATGCCTTTGTCATTATAATCATATGGGAGGCGGGGGTATCATTTAGTGAGCTCGTTGCTCACAGTACCTCTAGTTTTTCCTTATAACTTTTAAAAGAGAAGAGATAGGGTTTTCATATTTGACATGTGCATTTCCTGTGACAAGATACGCATGTATCTACGAGCATGCTATAATTTCAGTGATGACCTCAGAAAAATACTAGTATATGAAAGGGTGTTCCTATTTGACACAATATGCCATAAAAATGACATCTCACCCACAGAGACACCAAAAGTGGGGGACCACAATTCTTTGAATTTGCTTGTTGGATCGACCTTTGAAGGTATATTCAGATCTATGGAATCCATATCATATCAGATTTTTTTTTTTAAAGTTGAATTCCTGAAACACTAAGCATAAGCTCTGCAGAGTTTATGACCAATATGTTTCTTTTGACAGCTTAGAGAATTCAGTGTCAAAGATCAATGCCATGAAACAATGCAACAAAATCCTTGGTTCCATTCCTAATACATATAGGTAATCCTTAAGAGCTTTAAGGAAACTTTGTCAGTCCGACCCCCCCCCCCCCCCCGCCCCTCCTTGGATCTGTCCGGTTAGTGCTCTCCTGCTTGTATATGCTAGTAAAAATGCTATCTTAATTTAAGGCATACTAGAGAATTTTCTTCCACTGAATGTTTCAAATGTTTCACACTTCAAACCAAGTTTTATTCGGGACGACTTTATTTTGCGATTTACTCGGGATAAACTAGTTCGCGATCATTGTTAGCGCTCTCGAGCGCTAGCAACTACGTTAGTCCAAAGTCCTTGAATACGCATGCTCGGCTTCAAGGTCGTGCATTCTGGGAAAACTGTGAAAACTACTAGAGATAAACCGTACGAAAACAATTTCGTTCTATCTCTATTGCCTGCGTCACGGCGTCAGGCTGTATAAGGATTGATATTTGCAAAATCCGAAACTAATAGATCATACCCAGAGAGCTAGATTTTGTGCAAGCTGATTTACATTGGATTTCTTTACC